CGTCTGAGGATCCCGAGAAAAGGGGTGGGTGACGGGGGCGGATGTGTGATGGGGGATAGCTGGGAGGACGCTAGTGTGTGTACGATGTAGAGTGTTTGCCTTTAGTTGCAGAAACAGAAAACTGAATGCGCGATGAATTCGAAGAGTTCGTCATTGTTGGCGTTGTGGGCTGTTGTACCACTCGGTCGCCCGGTCCAGAGNGTTCGAGGATGCACTCTAGCCTTTGCGCAACCAAGCGCGGACTGCAAGGCAGCAGTGATGTTCCAGATGAGCCGGTGGCCAGTAGTTGGTTCATTCGCCTCTTCTGGAAAGCCTTGTCGAGCAATGGATCTTGACAAGGAGCAGTGACCCTATTTAGTGTCGAGCCACACTCGCCACGTCACAGCGCTGTCCACAGATATATGTGGCGTTTTGTACGGAGAACCCTTGCCAGGGGTAAACCCGCCACATCCTCGAGCGTTGCCACTGATCGTCCGCGACCGCTTATTTGGAGGGCCCAGGCCCACCTTATTCACGGTTAGCCGCGAGATAACGGCCGGTCTCCTATCCGCGACCTGGGGACGCACTCGGTAGCATACAGCTCTGCTCTGTCTGTTTATCTCTGTGCCACTACCTTCCGCCCTGTAGTGAGCGGTTAAACGCACGATTTGTAGGTTCGTGCAGACTGTTCTAACTGAGCTTGCCTTACTATGCCCTAATCCTTAAATTATCTCGTCTTCGCTCTTGAGTACCCTTGTGTAAGTCCATGTTGACAGGTTAGTCAGCTGATTGTTTCAGAGTAAACAACACTCTTTTGAATTCACGCCACCTTTACCAGTCGATTTGTTTTTCCAGTTTGATATCACATCTGGTTGATTCAAATATTGAATCGGAGTTTGAATTATACCATTGCTCATTTCAAAAGCACACCTCTTTCCCCCAGACTGTTTAGTTTGGTGGTGAGATTTATCCCGCTCCCACTCCGCTTACGAGGTCCCGAACGCGAACACCGTCACCCTCACTCCCTTTTTTACAGGAACCGTTGTTGTCGTTGTTCCTTATTTAGTGTATCGCACTTGACTAGAGATGAGACCAGTGAAAAGCAGTAAAGTGGTCCATCTAATGCATGTTTTTTACTGATCAATCTAATTTTTGTCGTTGCTTCTTTTGTTATTTGGGTGGTAGAATCGTATCATTCACTTGTGACACTGTGTGCAATCCAATCCACAAACTGGAATTGAATTGGATGATAGAACGACTACTCTCCTCCAACAAATGGGCTATCGGACGGTTTCAACTACACCTGCAAAATAAATGATGAAGAGGTGCATATGTGCATTGCGGCCAACCATCATGGTCAAGCATTTTTTCCGGCTGTAGTAATAATTTCAAACACCTTGTCTCCCACGTGCTACGTTTGAAGCGCATGTTTACTGTCTAAACGTGCGTTTACTTGTTTGTGTGCTTAGTCTGTTGATTGAAGTACATGTTCACCCCACGTGTGTTTGTGTGTGGGGGGGGGGNGTGTTGCGATCGGGTTTGATGAGGAAGCGGAATGGGATCAGTGAGTAGATGCCAATTTGAGTGTACTCTCCCCCCTTTGTCCATTCTGCTCACCTCGCTTACTCGTCCTAACCAGTCGATGATAGCAGTAGCAGCGTTTTCCTATTTTCGATTTGAGTGTTTCACTGTACCTCAGTATGTGATTTAATTCAGGATCGCATGATCGTAGTCTACATGTTGCTGTTGTTTGTTGTGTGAAATGACTGAATCAACATTTTCTCCATCCCCTCACGCCCACGTCTTTTGCGTTTGATTCCCTCTGTTCGACCGCATAACTCCAATAGCTGCGCCAACTGTTGTTGATCGCCCGCCCGCGCGCTCAGATCCTATGTTCCAGTCCCTATTTTTCTGGCTCCGTCATCACTCACACACGCATAGTCATGCTCATGCGCGCGCGCGTGTTTCCAACCCGACAGGCAGTGATAAGTGTACGTGGGCTGCTGACACATTGCGTCGGTGTTTCCATTTGGAAAGCATTCTTGATCACATGGTGATATCGCTGCTCTCAATAGTACGAGTGGTAGTGATATTAGTGGTAATAGTAGTAAACGCGGGGGCCACCCGCATTCTGCCAACAGGTGTTCGTGTGTGTGCACAGGCGCGCCTGTTCATTAAAACGAAATTGGCTGACGACTGGTGTCAGAATGCCAGTTCCGACTAACGGTGCTCAGGTCAAATTCACAAACCGTGAGGCGAGCGCCTATCTGTGGATTGAGTACACTGCTCGTTCCAGTCAGACTGTGCATTCGGCTCCGTGCATGGCGGGTTTTGCAATCGGCTTATCTCTCTCTCTCTCTCTGCTCGTTGCGCGCTGGGTCACAATCTGCCAACATGTGATTGTCTCGTTCATCGTGCGCGAGTGCGCGCGCGCTCTCACTCACGCACGGCGAGGTATAGTGGTGAGCAATCGAAATTAGAAAAAAGCACACCGCTGGCTCACACTGTTTACTGTTTCGATCATGACGTGCTTTCGTGTTGGTCAATGGTGCCCGCATTTTATTTCTATTTCTGGGGACACTTGTATACGAAGCCACTTTCACCGTCAGCATCTTCGGCTAGGTCAGTCGCGATATGTTCATTGATTAGATTACGCGCATCCAACTCCTTTCCGGCTGTTCGGCCACTCATTCGTGCTTTATGACTAGCTATATCTGTTAGAGATGAACTAAGTGAAATACAATGCTCTTCTTGACCTACACAGTAGGTCATTATCCGCGCATAAGCATGGCATGATACGCGTGGCTAATAACCTGTCAGGTTTTACCTTCGAAGCAGAACTGCGTTGATGATTGTTGTGAGCCACCGAAACCTTTCAAGCTTCATTGTTAGATGCTTTTTTTCCGTTGTGGAAGTAAACGGAACATATGCGTAGTGGATTTTTCCACAGTCTGTTTTTCTGCGCGCTTTATACGGTATAGTGAGTGGGTAAGAGAACTTTTCAAACGTGCCTTTGCCGTCCCCCGCCTGACAACATGCACTCGACATTGGAATGGTATCCTTGTGTGCGCGTGCGTGCAACCTCCTCGATTTCGATTATCAAAACCGTTTCTTCGATCGTATTTGTATTCTATGCCAATTCGTCATTTTAAGTGGGTCGCGGTGGTGCTTGATTTATGCATTTTTCGCTTCTGCATGCATACGATGAGTCAAATTTAACTGATAGTTGGGACCTGTCACAAACACTCTGTACCCGAGGTTGGTATTTTCATCATTACAATTTTGATACTTCTGCTATGAAATCAATCGAAATAATAAATATTTTTCATTTTCACAGTGTGAAGAATAATTGTTCATGAAGATCAGTTCACGGCAGTGTGATCTTGTGTATTGTGTATAACTTTTGCAAGCACTGGAGCTCACATTTCAATTAAAAAGCATACACGCTAACCGTCACAATATACATAATTAACGGAGAGAAAAGTTTTCGCAGGCATGGAGACATTCATAATCCAAGGTTAAGACAAAGTTCACTCATTGTTCGCTCTTTGTTTGTGAGTAGACGAGCAAGATACGGTATGGGTGAATTGCGGTATGCATTAATTCGAACAGGTAGAACACATCGCGTTTCTCAGTCGATGCAAACAATGTACCTCGGGATAGTTTTGTTTAATAATCGCTTTTATTCACGATTATAGGGGTTTTTATTCGTCTTTAATGGTAGTGTTACCAGAAAAGCCGTGAGGATAAAATTGACGGTAGTTGGCACGTGTTTCCTTCATTATCCCTTCTCAAGAGTCGCTATATCTTTTTTCGTTTTGTATTTTGACTACTTGCTTAATTTAAGTAACTTATTCGTGTTCGACGTTTTCATCACCTTTGCAGGTCTCTATCTTTCGGATCTTACGTACACAAACGTCGCGTTTCCCCGTGTTGGTGGTAAACCGAGTAGCACATGGATCAGCAAAATTAATGACATCATCGATGTGATTGCACATTTCCAAAAGTCAGAATACAGTAAGTCAATTGAGTTAAAAACTCGCACACAAATACGATTTATTTTCTGGAGATATTTCGCATTGCGTTCAGATGGGACCCATTTGTTTTTGGTATATTTGGTTTTGTAGCGTCAATAGTCATCCTGAAATTTATACTCTCGTTCTCCCCTCGCTGCGAACTGTTGAAACTGAGTCGCGTTAACGATAACTGATTTGCATTAGCTAACAGTCCTCGTCGATGTATCCTGCGCCGTTCTACCTTTGTATTCGAGTTTGCATCACAAGTCTTTGGCCATACAAGTGTAACATGCGGATTAATCATATTTTTTTCTGAGATAGGCCACTGATCAGGAGTTTGGTGCATTCGCTTCATTTATAATACCTTGTCGATCGGATGGTATGTGCCATACCCTTGTTGGTAGAGCGTCTCATTCGCCATATCTCACTACCGCCGTCAGAATAGTTTGGCCTTACCAGCCGAGAATCCATCAAGTCCATTGATGTTTCTGCTGATTTTCCGGGGTTACTTGTCGAGATCCGCACTATTCACGGCTGGTCACCTGGACCTTTATTGTCCTCACTCTCAGTGATTTTGAAATGCCTCAGGTAGCTTGCAACCATGTTCCAATGGAGTGAAATAGCACTCACGGGGTGTATCACATATTCTTGGCAGGGAAAATGATAAGATTGAAAATTAGTCTTCTCTAGATCAATGAAGTCGAAGCCAGCAGTTTCCATGTTAAGCCACGGGAAATAATTAGTGCCAAAATGTTGCGTGGTTTGTGCCCTGAACCATCTTTATTTCGCTTCCATTGATTCTTTATGGTAAAAAGAACGGTTCAGTTCAGTTCAGTTTGCACTGTCCGATGTGTGGCCTGGGTCAATTCAGGTAGTTGTGTTGTCAGCTGATCTTTTGGCTTCCGATACTGCGAATCAATAGGTGTTTACTGAAAGACTTTCTTCCTTATAGAGATAAAGTTTATCGATGAAGCTGGGTAAATAGAATAAAATATCATTCTATTCGTTTTAAGGATTGTCATCGGTCCATAGAAAAAGTCCTGGTAGACATTGACAATCTTTTGTTTAACGCTCCACAAACAACCCTTGTGGTGGTCAGGTTGTTGTTGCATCGATCAATCACGTGGTCTTTTCAGCACTATCGATATCGTGATTATTTTAAGCTGGCTCGGATTGTGTCACAGGCGAAAGGTTTTTCTGTGAATGATTTACCCCTGTCTGTCTCCCATGCACTTTCCTGATGTGCAAGCCATTCAAAATAGGACTCGGGTGATATCAATCTCTGTACCTTGATTTTCATGATCTAGTGCAGGGTTATATTTTCTCTTTTTGTCGCAATTATTTACCACACGAACTCTATCAACCGATCCGTCTGTTAGCACGCATCATTCTGATCGACCTCTCTATTGGTGATGCGTCCATGCCGGCGGGTTTTTACAAGTCCCGCAAGTGAACAAATTTCTCGCCTACTTGTCTGGTCCGTTTCAAACTTTCGCGTGTTTTACAGCCCCATCGAATCTAAATTCAATCAGTAACATATTCGTCTGTTCACCCAGCCAAATAAACTGTATATATTCACAAAAACGTCATACGTGAAGGGCTTAGTAGCGTGAATCAAAAAGAAGATACAGTAAAAAATAATTAAATAAATTGTACAACAATCTATCAATACTGATTGAATTCACAACGGTTGCACAGATAGGCACATGCTGGTAATTATTTTTCGAAAGCGAGGCTTTTAGCCTCATTTCACTCTATTTTTTATCCTGACCCCTCCGTTTCCTATTAAAANAAATTGTTGTTGCGTTGACACCATGCTTGATCACAAATCGCTACAATATATATATATATATATATATATATATATATATATATATATATATGAATGGCTGGACCAAATTTCCCTGGCAGCCGACGATTGGTTTTGCGGTTCCTGCCGCTCGTCAAGCATGTGTATCCTGTTGGAACGTGAGTAGATACAACAGCATCAATGTATGAATAGAAATCGATTTGTGTATGCACGACAATTGCTGTCCAAGGTGGTCACTTCAATTGAAGTTTTATCTAATGCTCAAACAGAATGGCGATTGCAGTTTGCTAGTATTTCACTGTTTCAAAGTAGCAATTCCGTTGGTTGACCTTGTCTGTTCCCGTCATATCAATTTATACCAGATTTCCCGGTGGACGGAACTTTGAATGCGTATCTCTGCGCTCAGCGATACATTGAAGAACTACAGAAATTCCTCGAAGAGGACAACTACAAAACTTCGTTGATTCTTGAGCCGCCGCCACCTCCCCCACCTGCTCCACCCCCGGCTTCAGGAACTGACCAGTTTCCTCGATGTGTTTCGCCATCCAGTCGAGATGATCAACCTCGCAAAGCGAGTGGCCTACGTGGCACCCTTGGTGGGGACAATAGTTTGCGGGGTTTGCCCGCACTGGCCGCATCATTTCATGGTCTTACATTTCGTTCTTCAGAGGGAAACGCACCCGGATCGCATAATGGATTCGCGACTGGCACCAAAGCACATCAGATCGTCCTATCTCCGACTGCAAAAGCGGCGTCTATCAATTCCAGTTTCGAATCCGATCAGACTCCACCTACTAAACCGCATCACAAACGTCAACAGAGTGCAACTCTTTCTAACCCGTCCTCCGCCAGTACCATGACTCTGACTCCGGAAAAAGACATGATGAAAGCAGGCCTAGTGTTATCAGCGGTCGATAAAGCACCATTGCTTACTGAATCATCTGACCAGGTGCCGACCACTCCGATCAATCGTGTGAGCAAACGTTCGGGCGTAGTTGGTGCCAGTGGCGGTAAGCAACTCTTCCCGGAATTTGACGCGTCTGGAGGTCCGACGGAATTATCTTCATCGTCATCATCGTGTAATCGTGATTCCGGAAAGGTAGGACGAGCTTTTGTTTCCATTTCCCGTTTTTCTTGCACTAAGCTCCCTTTGTCCCCGAAACAATAATCGGGCATCTCATCATTGTCTGATAAACCAGTAAATCAACCCCTGAGACTAAATGAAAGATCCCGACTTAGGAACCCATTAGTATCGTATATAGTTTAGTGTTTTATGTGCATGTATGTATGCAATATCTATAACTGATATATCATGCATATTTTCATGCTTTTCATCAGTGGAGTGTTTTACTTTACAACTAGCACAGTAATTTTTCTACAAATTATCCGTTCATTTTTTCTAAAATTATCGTGTGCGTGCAGGTATATCAGGAGTTCTTGTGCACCAAATAGTGAGATTCTCAAACAGTTCGAGTAGAGATCTCAGTTTCACCACTGCAGACAAACACCAGTTAAAAATTACAGAGTATTGGCGTAGACTTATGTCTAGCATGAACCAAACTCTGGCGCACCAGCGCATACAGTCTCCCTCCGATCTGTGCACTCATGTGTGCATCTATGCCTTGACTGCTACGCGGATTGCCGTGAGGTGTTCTCGGCGGACAGCCTAGTGAATGCACTCGATCAATACCGGACGGGGGTGACTGTCGCTGAACAAAACACACTGATTCCCTTCGTATCTGGACCAGGAATCACAGCAGCCCTTTTTGTTGTGGTAACTCACATGACAACCAAAATGACATTTAAAATCGAGTGACGCTGTAGCGTTGCCCTTTCTCGAGTAAGATGACCCACCATCGTAAACACGTTTTGCCCGATTGATCAAGTAACGGAACTGTCCAGCGGGTTGGTTCGGTTTACTGAATCACGAAGTAGGCTTTCACAACAAATGGAACTGGGCTTGTCATGATTGAACTGTGACGTTGAGCTTAACAGCCCGTGACAAGTACACCGGACAGGTCTTTACGATCAATAATATTAACCACCAGAATGCCACTGATGGTTCATTGTGTGGAGGATACCCCGAAGGAGATAGAGGCGTGTTTGTGTGTGTTAGTGTACTTTGTTGGTTGATCGACTTAGCTTTAGACGAAACTGAATGAACATCACGGCAACTGACCTCGGTCGTTCGAGTAAGTCACGCGAGTCGCGATACGTTGAATCGATGAGTCACCGCTCGCCACAATCAGGCACCCGCGTGGATATGAACCATTATATAGCCTGTCTCGAAATTAACCGCTTTTTTGTTTCTAATTGGAATTTTCGAACTCTCGATACACATGATTTTCCTCGGAATGATCGGTTAAATGGCTTTCTTGTAAAATAAGGGAAGAGAGGAGGACGAAGTTTCAACAACTAAGATTTTACTACTCCAGAAATGGACGAATCTGGATTTCATGTATGTATGTATGTGTATTGAGTCGTGCATCAACCGAGCTCTGATGCAAATGAAAATGGCTTTTGTTCAAACAAAATATCTCTTCCTGAGTTGATTATCATACCCGGTGAAAAGTTGAAATCCTTTTTCGTCAGTATATAATGGCCTCGATTCAAGCACGTTGCTTCCTTGTGAATACCATAGAAATGCAACTTTTTGTTTTATGCACAAGGTGAGTGTAACGCCAATTCACTCGGTTTTCTACGTATCGCTCTTTCGTCGTCGGTAGGCACTGAAACAACAGCTCCACACGCAGTCAACTGTAGACATCCTCCCACCCGTTCCGCCCAGACCTACCCAATCGGATGATTCGGCAAGTGCAGACTCGTTGAACAGATTTGACGAAGGAGAACAAGGACAGACCAAAGGGTCTGATACCGCGGAATTTCATCCAGATTCCAGGTAGGTGTTTGGTGCAATTTCTCGCAGTTATTGTTGTCGAAAGGGGATATGTATTTCACACCTTTTCTCACAGTCCTCTAATTACATCCTGATGTCTATTTTGTGGCCACTTGACTTTTTCGAAGTCTGTCAACCCCTTACTGTTAAGCCGTGAAGTAATTGATGGCTAGTGCTCATGTTTCCAATTGCCCTTGGGTCGCATTCCGCATCCGACTATTGTATATACAGGAGTAGTGCGAAATTTATTTTCGCAAGTTTTATGTTTGGATTGTGAGAAGATCGGTGACCTTGGTGGAACTTCAATCCACCTATGGACACCGCGTACACTTTTGTACCGCGCATGCTCTGCCGAATGAATCATGAGGCCAAATTGATGACAGTTTTTTTTCTCATGTGCAGGGCAGGTCAAATGTTCCAGTCTTTTTCTTTTAAAAACAGATAATCTAGCCTATCAATAATTCTTTTCGTCATTAAACTCGTCACATTTCATACCCTCTATCCTTTTGCACCGTGCTTAGCACACCAAAAACACCATCCTCAGGCATATCGATTCGGAACCAAACCGGTACTGGTGCACTGACCCCAGGAGAGGAGACCGGCCAGATTGCGTGCTCCACAATTCCCACACTGATCGACAGCACTGCGGTTGCTGCCTGTGCGGCCATGGCTAGTGGTGCTCTGTTTGGCACCGCTTCACCTTTGTCCGGTCTTGTGCCCAGTATGGATCCTCATTTGGCACTCGCCGGTGCGTGCTGTTATTGTTATATACGATCGCTCCTCGTTCGGATTTTTCTCACTGTTTGATTTGTTCACTACTAGTGCATATCCCTAGATAGAGGAGCTATGATTCCATTGATTTTGCGGGTGACTTAGTTCATTTTCCTCGTGTTCTGTTGGGGATAACTCATTAGTTTCATGCTAAACTGATATCTCTCACTGTAATGTTTTGTTTTCGGTGACACTAGTAGTGATGGTAGTGCTCATGGTCTCCTTTTGACCGCAAGGCTTGTAGTTCCAGCAGCTTCACTCCCACCCAACTTTGGTCATAGGCAGCTTCGCTGATGTTCAGTTACATACGACCTCCATCCCAACAGGGCGTAGCTAGCTTTTCTGTTTCAAGTTCGAGGGTTTAGGTTGCCCATCCTCATATCCGAACAACATGTCCTCCTGATCATGGAGTTGATCCGTTCTACTCTTCACCATACTGAGGAGTGTGAGAAAAGGTTTTGATCCATTAAGTGGAGGTACCCGTGTATACTGTCGTGTTTCTATGATCCTTCTGTAGAATGTCACATCACAGCAGGGTGTGCATACGTAGTTAGATTACACTTGTATTGAACGGTAGGGGGTTGGGGCACTGCTAATGAGCGATTTTCAGTGCGTTCTCTACGTTCCATAGCCGAAATGTGATGTAAAACACCAGTCGATTTACACCACTCACAGTGTTATCAATTCACAAGATGATGCCGGGATGAGGAAAGCCATTTGTAAAGAATAACCGTAAGGGTATCGGTAAATTGGCACACATACAACAAAATGCCTCGTTTGGAACAAGTCTCCGGAATTCTCACAGGCACCCAGGGTAATCAATAGAACGGTCCAAAAGCAGAGGCGCATTTTCTATAGTTACAAAACTGAATCCTTTGATCCAATCTTGGAAATCCAGTAATCTCTTTTTGATGCATGAAAACTACTCACAAGTGTGAGGTTGATGTCAAACACAGTTTGTTTCAATCCTTCTGTCCCAATAATCGGACTGGTTTTGTACGCCGAACTCCTGGTCGTACCACTGCGACGAAGCGTTTTACTGGTCACACAAAAATCACCGTTACTACAGGTCTTTTACCATTTCATGACTCAATGTTCAAAGTGTTCTCATCTACCGTTTCTCATAGGTCGAAATTCTGACGTGAATTCCTCCGCACTTGCCACATCCACTCCGCCTCATTTTTTGTCCTTGGATTCGCATTCCTCGTTTATCGCGTCTCCCGGATTGCCGGCCTCTGTCCCAGGCGAATTTACGGTACACATTGTCCACCAGGGTGTGATACAACGCCGTTCCATGGCCCAACTACGATCGGGGGCACACTCGGGGCTGGCTGCCTTACTCAGTCCAAAGCTGCGCAAGCCTTCATTGGGTACCAATCCGGATATCTACGGCTCTTCCTCCTCTCTGTCCACATGTTCTGCGGCTGCCGGAACCTCGGAGAATAGCAACTATTCCGCTGTTCGATCTTCTTTGATTCACTCCCGTCCAGTTGGGTTCTCCACGTGGCGCCGTCTCTGGGCCACACTGGTCCTCGTTGGTCCGGGGTCTGCGGCCTTCATGATCTACTTTGAACCAAAATGCAAACGTGCCATGCATCGGAATCAGGTTAGAAAACCGTCAAACAGCGTTCTTCATCATTCCTATGATGCTTTTTTCTGAACTAATGTTAACAAACTGGTGGTTCGGACACGCACTATTATCATTATTAGGATTATTACTCCACTGTCTGATCTGTTCCATCTTACATCTGAACCTTTCTTAGTGTTCCCCATTCCAAGTTGGCTACATTGCCGTGTGTATCCGTGGTCAGCCACAATCGTGATGATCAGACGCAAATCACTTGATCGGGAGCATGTTATTATTGTTGTTGTTCGTGCGTTCACTAGGGCTTACATTCCAATCCATTTTATCCGTCAATTAATTCGTTCACTTTCACCCATCCCATCTGTCAGTGTGGCTGGTTTCCAATCATCGGATGGAGCGTGGGTGGATTGTTTGATTTGTTAGCCATATCAGACACGTTCCAATTGACCAGTCTGGTGTCGGAATGTATATTTTTATATTTCGGTTTCGGACCAGGTTCGAATCTAATCGCCGTACTTAGCTGATTGATGGATTTCGAATAGATTCATGACTTGGTCGAGGACGATAATACTGCACACAAAACAAATAGGTTGTTTTCTCTTGAGGAAGAGGAGGGGAGGAGTTCATAGCCAAAATGCTTAGGATAGTCAAATACTAACTCACAGGGCAATTGGACGGTGTGGAAAAAAGCAGCAACCTGTCAGATCCGACTTAATTGAACTATCATTCATTCGCTTAGCTTAACAATACACCCTATCGTTTATTTGTACTCATGATTCTTATGGTCGATTTGTACACCTTTAAAAGCTTAGATGAGATCTCTTCCAGCTTTCCGAGTAAATTAGCTGCTTGTCATTCATGAACTCGATTTCTGCCCCTCGACGTCGGCTTTTCGCCGTCGTGTTACCGAGAGCATCTCCGTCACAGAAGACAGTGAATCGGACTTCCCAGGAGTATGCACTCCTTCAGAGCATTCCTCAAAAGGGACCTGGGGATTTGAGAGCTTTATTTCCGAATTCTCCCTCTCTATCAGACAGGCAACATAAATACTGAACACGACCCAGTGGGATCGTTAATGTTATCTCATTTTAATTCAACTAAGTTCCGTATTCAAATGCAATCGGCTTCTTTGATAATGATGAGTTCGCTTCATGGATTGTTTCGTTGAAAATCCCGCATGGCAGTTTCTACAACTTCTTATCACAATTTTAGTTTTTACCTCCTTTTATGAAATTTAGTAATGTACAGACTTTTTTCAGAAAGTTGTGGGTTTCAACCATTTAGGTGCTGTCTGGGAGAGAAAATGTTGAGTGGTAGTAGTGTAATTCGAATTATCAACCTCCCGTCAGGCAACTTGGGGACCGGAAGAGAGTTTTGGTAACCGATGAAGGTTCTCGTATTCACCAATTATATCGATCATCTAATTTCAACCGGTGGCGTCTTCCCTAAATTTCTCATTCTCGTTGACTCTTAAGCTATGCGGTTGTTTTGCCCAGCTGACCTTTTCTCTGGAACTTAGGCTAGACTTATAGAACCGACATTGCTGTGCTACGTGCTCAATGAAAAGCTGAAACCGGAAGTTATCCGCCCTAGTGGAAGTGCGACAGATTTCCCTGTTCGGGAATCTACTTCTAGTGCCCCACAGATGATGATCTCAATCTCCTTGCTGGATGTCTTTTTTGATTGGACCAGTTCATCGATTGCTATCTACGAGAA